AATGTCGTTGATCACATGAATTAAATGATGAAAACCACAGAAATAAATTACAGGTAAGTGTCCAGTTGAAGAACTCCTGGAACCTACATGAATTTAGTAGATTAGAAAAGGTTTCATGGAGGGTGAACGTGAGCTGTGGCTCAGATGCTGCTGAGAAGTTGTAGCCGGGAGGCCAGGTGGCATCTTTGCAGTTGTACTGAGGAGGAATGAGTTCAGTGTTTTCTGAGAGGAAGTGTACCAGTTGGACTAAAGAACAGAAGGCAGGTTAACTTGAAGGATAGTTGGGGATGAGAGGATGAAGTGTGGGTTTAGATTACCAATTGGTAAGCCATTGGAGCCATATTTGGGACAGGACTGGTACCACATATTGAGAATCCTGAGCTGTTGGATACTGTGTGTGTGGGGGGGCAGCAAATATTACTGTTAGGAAATCTTTTTTTTTTTTTTTTGGCTGCACCACATGCCCTGTGGGATCTTAGTTCCCCAATCAGGGATTGAACCCATGCCCCCTGCAGTGGAAGCACGGAGTTTTAACCACTGGACGCCAGAGAAGTCCCAGGAAATCTGTTTGTTTGTTTGTTTTGGTTGCCTTGGGTCTTCGTTGCTGCACACAGGCTTTCTCTAGTTTCGGTGAGCGGGGACCACTCTTCGTTGTGGGCTTCTCATTGAGGTGGCCTCCCCTGCCGCGGAGCACAGACTCTAGGCACCACAGGCTTCAGTAGTTGTGGTGCACGGGCTCAGTTGCTCCGCAGCATGTGGGATCCTCCCAGACCAGGGCTCGAACCCGTGTCCCCTGCACTGGCAGGCAGATTCCCAACCACTGCGCCACCAGGGAAGTCCCAGGAAATCTTAAGGAGAGCTTAGAGTGTGCTTTGGAGAGCATGATGGGTGTAGCTAGAGTGACTCACTGTCCTGGCCTGGCCAGGACCCTCTCAGTTTCAGCACTGAAAACCGCATGTCATGGAAACCCCTCAGGGAAAGTAGATGGTTGGTCACTTAAGGTATAGTATAGATCAGACAAGCAGTTGGTACGTGAGGTCCAAACCAGAGTAAAACGTTAGCACGTTAGCAAGTGAACAGAGCATGACAATCAGAAATCCAGAGCAGTTCAGAGCTCTGGTAGGCAGGCCATGGAGTTGAATTATATTTTGGCTGACAGCAGTTCAGCCAAATGAAATTGAGCATTGTCATAGCAACTTAGCTTATGTGACAGTCTAATTGAATCAGATTTTGAAAAATAAATATTTTAATCACTGACTTTCAAGTTTTGTTTAATAGTAATACTAATAATGATAGCAGTACTTATCATTAATGAATACTTAACTTGTGCCAGGCACCTTGCTAGATTTTACAAATATTCTCACCTTTAATCCTCACAACCAGCCTATGAGATAGGCAGCATTATTTTCTCCATTTTATAGATGAGGAAACTGGTGGCTTGAGAGATGAAGCTGTTTGCTCAGTTCCACAGCTCATTAGTCATAGAAGGAGACTTGAACCCTGGCCATCCCAAAGCTCTTAGTTACTATTTAGTACCAATTCCTGGTGTCACGGAACCTGGTTTGTTTATTATTTACTTTTTCCTTGTACTACAAAAGTAATACTTGTTAACTCTAGAAAAATTGAAACACGTGGGCTAGCAGGAGACTATGCAAAATACAATTTCCTCTGTTTAGAAACAAAGTCTGTTGACACCTTTGTTCATATCTTTTTCTTTGGGGGGCACATTGATATATGTTTTTTTCTATACAAATGACATTTGATAAATCTTTTAAACCCAATTGTTAGACATTTATTCTTTTTCAACTTATTTTGTTGGATGTTTAGGCTGTTGTAACTCTTTGATACTACAAACAGTTTATAGTAGACATAATTAGCTGTAGACGTTATACAAATAAAATAAAGCAAAATGAAACAAGACTGAAGAACACAAAAAATTCATAATGATGGACAATAATGCAGGAGATGCATAACAGTTGTAAAATCACTCTGTTGTATCTGGATCACCAATACAGTGAAAACCAGTGACTAAGGAATATTTGCTTCTAAACACACCATGATGTTGAACAGCTTTCTTTCAATCAAAGTTGAATTTTCAGCGAAGTCACCTAGAGCCCATGACAGGAACCATAAGCAGGACCCCAGCCCCCAGGCAAAGTCCCAGGAAGGCGCTTAATCCCTAAAATGTAAATGCAAGGAGTGACTCTGCTAGGAGGAACCATGTTCAGGGGCATAAGCCACAAACCCAATGACCAGAAACCATAGCTGAAATGGAAGTAAATTTAAGGATCAGAATATTAAAACAGTTATCGAAGCTGGAGGTCATGGCCAGCCTAGTGACCACTGGGAGTTGATGCTCAGTCCCGTAGTGTTGGGTCAACGCTGTTTAAATCCTTCTTGGCAAAGGGCCGGAGACTGGGCCTGGGATGAACCTACAGGTGGGGAAAATCACCCCAGAGAGTTTGAGAGAGCTCCAGGGATTAGAAATCTGGTAGGTTCTAACAATCAGAGGTTTTGAAGAAGGAGAATAATATAATGAAAGGTTGGTGAGTGATTAAATCAGCAAGGAAGCAATTTAACAGGATACTTCTTACAATAATTTTATTGTGGTGGCAAATGAAAAGGAAGAGGCTCTTGGTCTGGGTAGTGGTAGGAATTATATGTAGAGAGATATCTAGATATCTGTCTGCATTAAATAAATAGATTGGAGCAGTACCTGTCATGACATTTCTCTTATCACATGTTTGGCACACAGATAGAACATGTACTTGATCCTTGGAGCTTGTAATGCAGCCATTACTTTTGATAAATTGAAGTTTTAACTGGTATGTTAAAATTTTCTTTTATTACAGAACCCCTAAATAGGCATGTTGTATCTTACGATTGCTGTTTAAGTTAATGCTATCCTGTTTTACAATTAAAAATGATTATCTTCTCTTGGTGCTATGAAGGTCATTCATTATAAAATGAATGACTAATATGCTGGAAAGACATTTCAGTTAACTTTCTTGGATATTGATCAGATAACCACTAAGGTTTATGATTATTTTCTGAAATCTTCATTAGGTGAGCCCTTTGTTGCTTTGGTGACTCTTTTAGCAAGTAGTTTCCAAAACCTGGGTAGTGCCGCTTCTGAGTTAATTGAAAAAGAAATCTTTCTTTTGCTGAGTGTCCGCATTAGTTTTTGTTTGTTTTTGTTGCATTAAAAGTAACAGTTGTATAGAAGTTAACTGTGTTCTTAATTAGAAATAACTTTCTGTGTTTCTGGAGGTATGAAATTCATGAACTTCCAAGAATGCTGTAAAATATTACAGGAACTTCATTTAATCAACTGCAGCTAATGGTCAATGTGCTTCATTGCTTTGAACTTCGGAGTCAATCCTCCCTTACACAGTATTTGATAAATGTGATCATAATTTCTGCCTCATCCATGGAATTTTCTAATATTTATTGTTTTTAAAATTGCATTTTTAAATTGCAAAGTAATCTTTGTTGTAAGAAGAAACTAAAACAGTATTCAATATAGACTCCTACTTCTCCCAGCCTCAAAATGATAACTTTATAACAGTTTGATGCATATTTTCCAGTTTTTCATGGGGCTCTGCTTGTGTATACATACATATATATACACGCATACATTCATTACAGATTTCTCCTACTCCTCTGTCTCTCCCTCCCTCACCTAGGTGCTATGGTATTGCCAGAGGAGAGGAGGCTTTGTTCTGTGTTCTTCGCTTTATTGGATTTCACTCCTGGGTGGAGATTATTGTCCTTCTTCTTTCCCTCACTTGCCCACCGCAATTCAGGTTATGCTTTGCTTCTCTTTATCCTCAGCAGCCAAGCTAGGAGCCCTCCCAGAACAAACCCTCAACTGTGTAAAAGACATCAATTCAGGGTGTTTCTCCTGGGGACTGCCGGCTAAGCAGCCCCAATTCTGGCTTCCCTGGTAATTGGCCCCGGGCCCAGAGGGGCTTTTTTTTTTTTTTGCGGTATGCGGGCCTTTCACTGTTGTGGCCTCTCCTGTTGCGGAGCACAGGCTCCGGACTCACAGGCTCAGCGGCCATGGCTCACGGGCCCAGCCGCTCTGCGGCATGTGGGATCTTCCCGGACCGGGGCACGAACCCGTGTCCCCTGCATCGGTAGGCGGACTCTCAACCACTGCGCCACCAGGGAAGCCCCAGAGGGGCTTTTTGTATCGTTGGTTCCAAGTATGAAGTTTCTCTGGGGTTTCCTTGGGTTATTCTTTGCTGCATTCCTCTTCTCAGTCTGTTATGGGTTGAGATTTCTTCTGCGTTAGCAACCCTGGCTAATTTCTTCTTCTAGAATTTTCTAAAAAATGGTGGTATGTTAAGGGTGGAACTTGCTTTCTTCTTTCTTCTGTCATTTTAGTGGGATTTAGGTACACGTGGTGACCCAGTCAATGTTTTGAACCTCCCAGGTACCTAGTCTTTTTTCTATTCCCGGTCCAGCTTTTTGGAAATTCTTTCAGGGTTCATTTGCAGTTCCTCTGGTTTGTGTTATAACTTGAAAGCTTTCTTCTTCTTTCAGTTTTGCATTTTATATTAATCATAATTAAGTCATTGATATCTCATTGCTCTCTGTTTGGGTTCAGAAATGACACCATTACTTAACAAATTTATTTTCTACTGCATTTATGGACCTCCACAAGGTGTTACTGCATAAAGCCAATTAATGATGCAAAATTTAACTTTTAGAAATTTAAATAATTATCCTTATTTCATTTGATAGGTATAATGTCACTATCTTTAATATATATTTGTAGTTTATTTGCCAGGTGACTAAATATTGTCAGCTTCCTTTTTCAGTGTTCAGATCAAGTGGAGATATAAAAAACGGAGCAGTAACTTTTCTTGAGCCCATGATACTCAGTGTATCTTAAAAATGATTTCTTAGTTACCATCAGAAACGAATGATTTAGCTTTTTTTATTATTGAGGTATATTGGTCATATAACAGCACATATTTTTAATTTTGTCTCAGGAAGGAGAAAACATTTTCTATTTGGCAATTGAAGATATAGAAACAGATACAGAGCTTCTGATTGGCTACCTGGATAGTGACATGGAGGCCGATGAAGAAGAACAGCAGATTATGACGATGATCAAAGAAGAGGAAGGTAAAAATTCTAAAGGACAATCAACAGCTGGCAGAAAAGGTATTACCTCTAATAGATGGTCCGAGAGAATGAAAATTGTAGGAGAAATAAAGTTTGAACTGTGCTTGATTATAATTGCAATATAATAGGGTGTTCTCGAAATAAAGTTAGTTTTTGTCAGAACTCTCGGAGGATATTCAGTTGTGTGCCTCTCTTCCAGCAGGAAGGGAATGATGGGTTGGGGTGGGTGATGGATGTGCCCTGTAGGACTGCCAAGGTCAGCGGCAGCTCCCAGCTTTCACTGCTCTCACTGGTGGGTAGCCAGTAATGAGGATTTTTGTACTCCAGCCCCGAGTCTGCCATTCATCCATGTTATAACCAGGCAAGTCACTAACTCTGAGACTTTACTTTCTCATCTGCACATGGGGAAAGGTGAGTGCAGAGGTCCTGCTGGGCCCTGTGGGATTATTCCTGGGCCTCACTCTTAAGATCCTTTGAGAATCTGGAGCATCTGGAAACCTTTCTTTGTTCTGATCATAGAGGCCTACAGCATTGCTGGGTTGTTCTAGTAGGGTAACCAAAAATGTATGATGACCATAGGTAGACTTGCTTAAATCAGCCCTGCAATCTAGGAGATAGATGTCACTTGTTTGTCATCTGCCAGGGAATAATCAGTTGTTATTAGGGCTTGTTTCTGTTTTGTTGTGTTTTACTCCTGATGGGGTTTGAGGGAAATTTGAATGGTGTTAAGGGTGTTCACATTTTGTAAAAGGTTGATACTTACTATAGAGAATTTTTCCATTTTGCTTAACAAAGCCACTTCAGAAGTGACCCTGGTTTCTTTAGTCACTGTGGTATTAATGTCTTTTATATGAATTTTCTATTCTAACTGTATGTCATTGGCTGAAAAAGTATGAGTATTCCCAAGTATTGCCAGATTATGCTTCTGTTTCTTTATTTTAGTTGGAGTATTTAAAAGGAAGATGAGGACAGGCTATCTGTTTTGTCTTTCCAAATATGCATTATGCTGTTTGGAATGTCAGATTTGGGGTGATGGGAATTATTTCTGTACTATTCTATGTTTTCTTTATTTTTGTATTTATTTTCAGTGTTGCCCCCAGGGTACGGTATTACTGTGTCCACTATTTTACCTTAAAAATAAGTCTCCTACTTATTACTACCCTGATTTTTCTTTATTTAGTTAACAAAATATCAATTTCTATTACTTTTGTAAGAAGAATCAACAGAAACTTACACAGATTCTTAGAACATATGAATCACGTGCTTATATTGTTGATATTTTTAGTTTAGAATTCAGTTTTGTTTATAAAAGCAAAATATAAAACCCAAAAAACAAACAAACAAAACCTCCCCAAAACAGAAGCAAAACCAACCAAACAGTGATCAAAAGAAACAAAGAATCCACTCAAATGTCAAACAATGGAGAGTTTGGTTAAATAAGTAAATTATGGTACCTTAAGTTAAAAAAAAATTTGACTTGAGAAAATATTAAATGGAAAAAAGAGCAATACATGAAATTGCATAAAAAGTATGATCATAAAGGTTCTTAGACTGCACATGAAATATGAATGCACAAAAGACAACTCAGGCATGGAAATAGATTACAGCAGTTGTCTCTTCATGGTGGGGTTATTGGTGATTTTTATTCTCTTCATATTTTCTGCATTTTATCTAAATCTAACCTTGGGACTTCCCTGGTAGTCCAGTGGTTAAAACTTCTCCTTCCAGTACAGGGGGTTGCGGGTTCGATCCCTGGTTGGGGAGCTAAGATCCCATCTGCTTCGCAGCCAAAAAACTAAAACGTGAAACAGAAGCAATATGGTAACAAATTCAATAAAGACTTTAAAAATGGTCCACATCCAAAAAAAATCTTTAAAAAATTAATCTTATTTGATAATCAGAAAAAATATGTAATTTAAGAAGCACACTTTGAAAAATTTGGGTAGAGCCATGCGAGTCCATATAGGACTGACAGCCAGAGAGACAGTGGAGCCTCACTCCGCCTACTGTAACGAGTGCTGTTTTTATGACCTTGGCCTTTTTTCATATATATGTGAGATTCCCCTTGGTAATTCAACATAGTTCCCCTTGCCTGAGTTTTTCTCTTCTTGCAGCTAAAAGTGAACTCAGGATAACCCGTTTCAGGGAAGACTTTGCCGATGCAATTCAACATTTGTTATAACTCTTTGATGTGAAAAGTTAATGTTACAGGGTAAATTAAAAATTGATTTTGATTGTATTAATTTGGTGAAACACAAGTTAAATGATTTAAAAAATAATGTATTGTTCTAGTAACACTTCCTATTATTTTTCATGGGCAACCTATTCATACTCAGAGATAATAAAAATTTACTAATCTGGTACCATTAAGCACAATTAATTTTGATTTTAAAATGAGGGCAAAACTGAGCAGTTCTTGGCTCTTCGCAGATCGCTTTGGCTGTAAAGAGGACTATGCCTGTCCCCAGTGTGAATCGAGTTTTACCAGTGAGGAAATTCTTGCTGAGCATCTTCAGACATTGCACCAGAAACCCACAGAGGAGAAAGAATTTAAGTGCAAGAGCTGTGGGAAGAAATTCCCAGTTAAACAGGCTTTGCAAAGACAGTGCGTACATTCAAGAGTATATCTAAAATTATAAGCTGACACGTTGTTTAACTGTTTCATTCAGTTTGTCTTATAGTTTCTAACCTGTGTGCGTGTGTGATGGTGTGTGTGTAGAAATTAAGCATTCTCTATTGTCACTGTCGTAAACTTCTCTTACTATAGTACATTGGTTTTTGAAACATTCTGATTATGAAGTTTAACAACTAAACATTGTTTATGCTAATCAATCTTTGTCCATTTAATAACTTGCCGTTAAATATTAAGCTCATTGGTGTACTAATTTGAAATCTGATATACATAATTTAGCTAGTGCTTTGAGGTGGCAGATCAAGTTTCAGCGGTCTGCATTCGATATTCCCTCTGAAATGTGTAAAAAAAAAGAAAAGAAATAGTTTAAGAAATGGAGAGAGTTCAGAGTATGAAGAATACAGGGCCATTTTGGGAAGCACTGTTTATTTCCTAGCAATGTTGGAGAAATAATTTAAAGATGAATATGTACAAGGTATGATGATGAAATGAATTAAATGGTCCCAATCATTGCTCTGCACCCTTTATTATTTTAAATATATTAACAGCATATTAAGTTATCCTTTTACTTAAGTATTGTACAGTATCGTGAATTATTAAAAATGAGAAAGTGGATACATATATTTATAAACTTATTTTTAACAGAATGTCACCTTGCATATGAGCAAGAAATCTTTAACATAGGCTTAATGTTTCATTTTTTAATTCATTAAAGTAAAATTCTGAAACATGCTGTATTTCATATTAAGACAGTTTTCATATATGCATCCACTTTTGCTTATGAAATGTGAGGTGAAAAATTTCTGTTCAAAACTTAAACTTAAAACTTGGAAATTCTCTTATACACTCTTTAAAAAACCAGGCAAGGGCTATATAGTTTTTAATGAATAGATTTTAAAACTGCATTCTAGTCAGCTTTTATTCAATTTAGTATTACATATTCTACACCAAACATACTTTTGCTGAACTGAGTCTTATAGTTCAACTGTAGGTGCTACTTAAAATTTTAAAGGGCAAAAGGCAGAATGAAAGGAGAGATCATGAATGTGACTTCATTCAAAGTAGAGATATTTTCATAAGTCTTTGTCTTAGACTTCCAGTTTTTGTTTTTTGTCCATTTCCCCTCAGTGTTCTTCAGTGCTCAGCGAAAAGCAGTCTGAAGGATTCTTCACGAAGTTTTCGGTGCTCTGTTTGCAATTCTTCCTTCAGTTCAGCGTCAAGGTTTTGTATCTGAGTTATCAGATGGCTGTTATATAATTGCGGGTCATCATAGGCATGCATGCTTTCATGCTTCTTAGTGATTTAGTATCATATGGCTGCAGAATTTCAGTGCTTTCCTTCCTACCTGCCTAGGTAACACTTGTAATGACCCTGAAACTCTACTGGGGAGCATGCATTACAAAAGCCAACCTGGATGTTAGAAGTTTGTAGGTGTCTTCACCATTTCTTCTCCCTGTTTCCCATTCCTGGTTGTCTTGTAGTTTTGAGCAGCACCAGGAGAATTGCCGGGGAGATGCCAGGTTTGTGTGTAAGGCTGACAGCTGTGGAAAGAGACTGAAGAGCAAGGATGCCCTGAGAAGACACCAGGAAAACATCCACGCCGGTGAGAACTCATCAGAGGGTTGTTTTTAAAGGGGCTTCCTCTCCCCAGGCCACAGCGATCTGTTTTTAATTCTCACTCTTGAGGAGAGAGCTTGCTTTTCCATTGTATTTCACACAGATGTAGAGCTCTGGAAATGGAATTTTTTTCTTCCACTGAGCGCTATTTCTTTTTGATTTCAGCAATATTCGTCATTTTTCCTATCTCTGAATTAATCATAACTGGAAACCTAAGCTAGAATCTAGTTGTGCTTGGTAGCCAGGTGCATTAAGAATTAATGTTTTAAATAATAATTTTAATATTTTAGCATGTGAAATTTCTCTTTTAGTAGATATATCTTAAAACTGTTAAGTGATGCCCTTCTGCCTTAATATTTTTACAGTAAACTTCCATTTTTAAAAATCCTTATATTTCTTCCATATTGGAGAAAATTACTGGCTACATTTTGACATGCTAATTGAATATATTTGGATTTATAAAGTAGATACTATTTGAATTCCTTCTAATGGCTAGCTAAACAATAGGACAACTAGAAAATTTGTCACTTAGATTTCATCTGCTTGGCACATGGTAAATGTATTTTGACTTTAGGGATTGACTCTGTTGCACTAAATCGAACAGATGAATATTGTCAGAGTGAATGTTTTATTTCTTCAGCGTCTTTTCCTTAAAGGAGGCTGAGGTTCATGGCACCCCTCTTATCCTTCTGTACTTCCATTTTTCTCATGTGTTTACTTTTGCCGTTGGCTTCTGGGTGGAAATGTCTTTCTGCATATGAGGAAAGTGTTATTTCTTTTCTCCTATCCTGTTTATTCTCACATTCAGGAGAAAAGAATAACCGGTACTCAGTTTCTGTTTCCTGTATTTGTTCATTGTCCAAAAAGTGTCTCTTTTAATGCTAGTTACAACTTCGCACCACCAGTTTGGGCTGCACACTCAGTACAAGCCATATTTGAAAGCTCAGGGTGGCAGAAGGTATGGGCTTGTGAAATGCGGCTTCAGAATGGTGCACATCACTTGGACTTCACAGTGTTCTGATTTCTTTCTTTCCTTTTGAAGGATATAGAGAGGATGACATTTTTCTGAATTCTTTCTACTTGGGCCTTTCCTATCTTTGCAAAAGGCAATCATAACTTTTTGATAGACCTGTCTCTTCCTAGTTTTCGTTTTTTTAAAGCTGTTATGTTTAAAATGCTGTTCTTAATTTTCTCCATCTTTGTCTGCAATGTATTATAACAAATCTTTCATGTCATTTTTAAAGTTAACTTTGCTGAACTAAGTAAAAAAACAGATGCGCACTGAAACTCTGGAAACTTGCATTCTTGTTATTGGGCATGTGGTCTTCAGACTGTGCTAGAAGCATAATTTCTTTGAGGCTGCTTGTAGTTGGTCTTGGATATTAAAATATTACTGATTCTAAAAACTTACGGTGATTTTGTAGGAAATAACATAAAAGGAAGTTTTTTATTTTTCTGTGTTGTGGATCACATAAAATATGAAACTTACTGTATTTCAGCCAGAGGCCACCATGCATACTTCTTGCTGGAATTGGTGCTCAATCGGTCATTCATAGCCCCTCTCTTGCTTCTTCCCTTGCATCCGTTAGCTACACAGACATTTGGGGAAAGAATATTCCATATACAGAATAGCGAAAAAAGCAGTGTTCATACACATGGTCGTAGAACGCTTTACTGTAGAAAGACAAAGGTATTCAAGGAAAGAGAAGATCTTGCAGCTTTTACCACCGACAATGACAAATGTTCCTCGTTAGATGATATGAATTGAAGATGCTGAGAAGAGAGAAGCTGAATTTTAAAATATGGATCACATTTTTCCATAGAAACTGTAACATATGGTGGGTAGGTTCTCAGACTAGCTCCTAGAAGCACACTTAACCCACATAGTGCTGAAACTCGCAGTACTTAAGTGACTACGTATTCAGTACAGTTGTATTAATTTTCAGTGCATCTCCTACCTTTGTAAGTAATGTGCTCCTGACTGTTTTTGAAAGCTGAATCAGAAAGTCAAATGTCAGACTTAACCTGAATATAGTAAAACTAAAATGGTATAAAGTCTAGCTGTGGCTTTGTAGATGCTATTGTCCTTGAACCTGGGGAAGCTTGTAGGGTGACCTTCCCAGTTACTCAAGAGGAAACAGTGAAGGGTCTAACTTCCTTAACTCACCTTAACCATCTTTCTCTTTTGATTTCGATTCTGCGGATGCCGACGTAGAGATTTTGTATATATGGGAAATAACATTTGTCTACATTCTCAGGCAAACAGTCATAAACTTTTCCCATGTTTCTTCTCTGAGGAATTAGGATTCCAGTCCTAGGGTGAAGAATAGAAGCTGTAGGAGGAGAGAAGAGATTGAAGAGTAGGGATGGGGGTTTGGTGTATTGCCTGTGATTCTAGCTGGAGGAGCCATGGCAGGAGTATTGGGATAAGGTGAAACAGGTGGTTGTGGAAATGTCACTTCTCTTTCTCTTCTCTCCCTCAAGCCTGACCTACCTTCTGGGAAAGAATAAGGTCTAGTCTCAGAGAGCAGCTGAGTTGAGGGATAAGCTAGGGAAATAAAGGATTGTGGGTTAAAGGAGGGACATACCGCTTGTGCAAGCTGGAAAAGAGGGAATATTCTTTCTCAGTGGCCCCTCATGTATAATAGATATGGATGGAGAATTGATGACCAAATGCATGCTGTCGGATATTCATTTTCCTCGGGAGAAGTTTCTCCTTTAGTAGCCATATTACTTGTCAATCACCAAGAAAATTTTTCTTGGCTATACTATTTGGCATGCTAAAAATAGTGCATTATATGAAATCCGTATCTTGAATGATAAGACAAAAATTAATCTTTTCCTTTTTCTGAAAGTGTTGCTGTCTCGTAAACACAGTCTTTTAATCAAGTCATTTTGTAATCGTGTGTTCTACTGATTTTAGATTTCTTTCCAGAAAATAGAGAAGTGAGGTAGTGGATGAGGTTGAGGTTTTGGCAAGAATAGCCATGGATTAGTCATTTTGGGGGCCAGGCAGTGGCTACATGGTGGTTCATTTTATTATTTGTTTACTTTTTGAGTATTTGTAGTCCATCAATTAAAAATTGAAAAACCATTCTGTGGTTACTTATGGTCGTGCAGATGTTGTTATATCGTATTTGAAAATCTTGTTTTGTTGAGTCTTTTGTTTTTTATAACCACTGTGAAATTTGAAATTTGAAATGGTCTACTATAATTATAATCACTCTATAAGAAGACAAAACTGAGCTTTGTTTTGATTTGTAAAATAATATGAATGCCAATATAATGTTTCATTGTTCTTGATTTTACCTTATTCTGGTTTTTAACATTAATATGATAAATCATATACTCTCAGATCTTGCAGGCTGATCAAGTCTAGTGCTGAAAAGAATAATCTCTGAATTCCATTTTTAAAAATCCAGCTGATTAAATCAAATATTCTGTTAAAATTTAAAGCAAGTAGCAAAATCAACTTACGAGTTAATAAATACAGGTTTTCTTTTATGTACACATTTGATTAATTTTCAGTTTTCACGGAAGTGTGCTTTTCTCTTTTAATACTAAATTAGAACGTGGAAAGGTGAAAGGCCCATTTTATATATGTAGAAAGTGGTATACCAAGCTGAATATTTCTCAGATTTTGAAAGCGTTTAAAATGTAGCCTCTTCTTTATCTGAGTTTAATGGATATCTCTACAACACTGAAAATTTTGGAGTTGTAAGTTAAGAAGATGAAATACCTGTTTAGAAATTATAAATCACCTAGAAACACTGTATCTAATACTCCTCTTAATATTCTCATATAAATCATGGTGGTATTTTATTTTATTTTGTTTGTTGTTTTTGTTTAGGGGATCCTAAGAAAAAACTCATATGTTCAGTGTGCAATAAAAAGTGTTCTTCAGCATCAAGCCTGCAGGAACATAGGAAGGTCAGTAAGATAAAGACTAATGCTCATCATAGTGTAAGATCTTTTAGTCATTTATAGTGTCGGCCATGAAAATTTTTAGCTGATTTTTGTATTGTAAAGACAGAGTTTTGTCATTAATTTAACTACTAACATATTCTAAAATGCAAGACTGATATGCAGAAGAGTGAACTCTCGCAAAAGAATATTTTGAGTTGTTTATTGTTGTTCAGAATTAGTAGAAATATTTCTCCACCACAGTATTGTGTCTGACTGACACCTCATACTGGTTTCAAGCTTTCCCAGTTGCTGTTTGCTCAGGAAATACTATATATTTGAGGAAACCATATATTTTTGTGTATTTATGATATGCTCTGCAGTGACATTTAGCTTAAAATGGACGCATATTATAGTTAAGTGTGGCAAAACGAAGACAAAGAGCTCTGTTGTTTTGAAGAGCTAAAAATAATGTAGAAGAATGTCAGAGTGTTGTTAGCAGAAACGATTATGCCGTTGACCCTTGAACAACAGAGGTTTGAACTGTGCTGGTCCACTTTTAGCAGATTTTTCCAGTAAATACATACTCCAGTACTACACGATCAGGGGCTGGTTGACTATGCAGATGCGGAGGGCCTGCTGTAAAGTTACATGATTTTTCCACTGCAGGGAGAGGTTGCGGGGTGGGAGTGGGGTGCAGCGGGTCCAACCCCCAAAACCCCATGTTGCTCAAGGGCCAACTGTGTTAGGAGAAAATAAATTTAATACATTTTGCAATAAGCATTAAACTTACTAAGTTGCTATCTTAATGTGAAAGTTATCCTGAAAAGTAAATGACAGTTATTAACCCTAACAACATTAGCACTAGTTAATAGAATTTACGACAGAATAGAATTAAATTAAAATTTAGATTTTGTTCATATCATGGCAGAGTCCAAAAATATATTTTATGTTATATTACAATAACAAAGATATAAATGATTATTTCCTGAGTTCATGTATTATTTTTTCAGAATATCTAGGAGCATATAATATTGTCTTTTAGTCATTTAATACTAAAGAAGAGAGGAGATGATACTAGTGAAAGTAAAATTTTACTTTTGTTATGGTTTGTAAGTTGAATTTTGTCTCTTTGTGTGTGTCTGTATTCCAAAATAACTTGGCAGGCCTTAAAACTCATATGATATTCAATGCTGTAACTCCAAGCATGTGCTGTGGATTTAACCTGTAACATATAAGACAGTTGAATTGTTAAGATGTCTGAGGTTATATCCTACATGTTGAGTGATTATGATCCTTAGGGAGAAATAATGCAACAGCACTGGACAGGAGTGAAGACAGTGGATGTCATCTTCTTCTGTCCCTAACCCCCCATGTAACATTGGGCCTGTGTTCTCTCATTTATGAAGTGTGACTTTTGAACTGATCAGTGTCTTTTAATTACTTCTCTTAAGTGCCATGAAACTACTTTTTTTTTCTTTTCAGTTTCCATGTGGTTATTTTTACAGATTGTTTAAAAATATGGAGTACTTCAAGAATTTGCTTATAATTCTTGTTCAGGGACCATGCTAATCTTCTCTGTATCATCCCAAATTTAGTGCAAGTGCTGCTGAAGCAAGCACTGAAGCTACTTTTTAAGGGAAGTTTTGCACAGAACTCCAGTCCAGATGCTGCTGCTTTTACGTCTCTCTTCCTCCCTTCTCATCACCCTTAAGGTTTCTGAAGCAGAACCTAGTCTGAGACAAAAAGATTAAATCCAGTTGAATAAACATTAAAAAAAAAAATCCTCATACTTTTATAATTCTTTGCTTCCCTTCCCTGATCTTAAGAAGTTGAAATTTAAGATATCTTACCAAATTTCAGATTTTCCCAAATAGACTATTTCAGCAAAGTTGGTAGTGGGGCATATTTCTGAAAAGTGGTCTCTTTTCCATTTATTTTCTTCATAACATAAGAACTTTTCCCCCAGGGAATATCCTGGTAGATTTAAATCCTACCTGGTGGTGGTGGAATACAGCCATTCTGTTTCTGCAAATGTTAATAACTTAGTAGCTCAGTGCAGCTCTTCATTACAGCATAACTCCTCTGACTTAGCCTTTCTGAATCCACAGGCAGCTTTTACTGACTCCATTTTTGACTATTCTTATAGTTGGGTATGTCTAATGTCTAATAGAGTTTGGTTGTAGTATTTCACCTTGCCAGTAGATGGTGCTGTATGAATAGGTCAAATTTATATTATAGTCTAGAACAGTGTCTTACATTACTATGTACTGCCCTATATTACAATAAGATATATTATGATCCTTCCTGAAAATTATTTAATTTGGGACTTCAAATGATAAGTTATTACCATCCATGTCAATTTAATAAGCTGGACATTTTACAAAAGGTGCTTTACTTAGCATTAGGCATTAATTAGTGTCATTTTCACTTTAAATCTGATTGTTTTATTAAAACTTTTTTAGTAGTTTTGAGAATAGCTTTGGATTGAATTTTCTACTATAAATAAGATAGTCAATACAAAAATGCTTTCATGTACAGTAAATATTCTATTTTATAATTTTGATAATATCAATTCAATTCAACCTTTAAAAATGTTTCATGGGGCTTCCCTGGTGGCACAGTGGTTGAGAGTCTGCCTGCCGATGCAGGGGACGCGGGTTCGTGCCCCGGTCGGGAAGATTCCACATGCCGCGGAGCTGCTGGGCCCGTGAACCATGGCCGCTGAGCCTGCGCGTCCGGAGCCTGTGCTCCGCTACGGGAGAGGCCACAACAGTGAGAGGCCCGCGTACCGCAAAATAAATAAATAAAAATGTTTCATGTTTCAGAAGCCATGAGAGTTAAGTGAACAAATATGAGTATATTTTGCAGTAATTTATTTAACAGCTGCCATTTTTATATGGATAAATAATTTAAAATTTGTATATACTAATTAAAATTTAACATTAAAAATGAAAATAAATGTTTTCATTTATGCATGTCTCAGAAGGCACATCATCATTTTTTAGAGTAGCTTATTATAAAAGATATATGTTACAGAAACAGAGTTTAAGAATATAAATCTGTTCTTATTATCTTTAAACGTTACACCTCATATAATTGCTGTGAGGGTCTTTGATGACTGAAGATGTTGCCTTTAAAATTTCTTAGGCTGAAAGTTTTCCTGCTGTACTATGTGGTACTTGCCTTCCTCAGACCTGTCATGTGGCTGGACATAGGCTTAAGGCACAGACTGCAGACCAGGGATCTGTGAGCCTTGCCCCAGCTTCCGTTTCCCTTCCTGGTGCCGTCTTTTCACCATTCCTGCCTTGAGTTCCTCTGTGGTCACTTAGGTCAGGGGAGCCGTTTACCAGTCCTCCACTCTTTACTCATTGCTGTACCAGTTCAGGGTCTTCTGCCTTGGCTTTCACTCTGTAGTGGCCCTAGATATCCTGCAAGGATCACCACAGTATCTTGGCTTCCTGCAGAAGGACCTTTGCTTGTCTGGGGTTTAGTTTTGTGAGCACTACCTTTAATGAGGTTGAAACAAAAACAGAACCTCACCAAAACCATTTTTGAATCTTCAGCAAAACGGTATGATGCTCTTATTCATTGGGGTGATCAACATTTCTAATATAAGGCTTCTTGCAACACATTCTTCTTAGAACTTTGTACATTGTTACTGGTAATAAACTAAGCTTTTGCCTTTCATACCACCTATTCAGTTTCTCTCATTTAGTGTCTGGGAGGGAAAGAACTAAATTTAATATTAAACTGTAATACTTATTTAGCCAGTTGTTTGCTAAAGTTATGCTCCTCCCCCTTATAATTTTTTAAAAATAAAACTAATAAAGATTTTTATTGTGGTCCTCCTATCCTGTGAGAGTTTTGCGGTGAGCTAAATGCTTTTCAGAATCATGTATCTCCTTGTCTTTAACATTAATTAATGTGTTGTTCTGTACTACATATATTTAAGTTTAAAGGAGTGTTGACTACTGTAAAGGGGATATTTTTACTGGCAAGTTACGTATTTCCAAGTCTAAATTTGTGCATAACAGAGACTTAATATATACTAGGTATAATTTTTTACAGAGAGTATAAATTTATTATGCACTTTAAAAATAGGTCAGCTGTTTTACATATTTAAATAACATGCAGTCTTACATTTTTTTAATGATATGTTTCTACTAGGTAACATGTTCATTGCATTTTCAATTTATGTGGATAGTGTGAACAAATTAGGGCTGAATTATAATATATAGTTTGGATATTGCAGTAGCAACTGTCCACGTGTTTATACTTTTACTTGAGCTCTGTACAGTTTTTGGCTTTGATAGTTGACTTAACTGTCAATTTAACGTTTTGCAGATTCATGAGGTATTTGATTGTCAAGAATGTATGAAGAAATTCATTTCAGCTAATCAGCTAAAACGTCATATGATCACCCACTCAGGTAAAATACATATTTTTCCATTTGTATTGAAATCTCTACAAAAGATTCACCTCGTCATTTTCAGGAGCTCTGAGAGTGGTAATCAGGAGACCTGGTTATTAGTTCCAGGTTGGCCATTGACCGGCCATGTGATTTTGAACAAGTTACTTAGCTTCTCTAGACCTCAGTTTGTTTCTGAAGCATATGTGGTTGGACTAAATGAAATTGAAGATCTTCAAACTCACCATTTAATTTGTTACCTACTCCTCCTTGAGGCTCTGTTTCTATATTCTTCATCTGTGAAAAGATATCCTACCTTTCAAAATTGCTGTTCAGGTTAAACGAAGTCATCTATATACCACGCTAGCAGAGCGTCTGACATTTAGGAGCGATTCAGCAATTATAGTTCCGACGTTTCTAGATATTTTCACATTCTAACTAAGGAACTAATAAATGTTAGTGAGAAATTTATAAATACATTTTGAGAATATAAGTTTTTAAAGCCATCGTTTCATTTTAAGCAAGTTTGAGTAATAGGTCTGTTACACAGACTTAGAAAAATTCAGCTCTGAAAATAACTTTTGCTTTATGAGGTCTCTTTCTAGAGTTTAGAATGTCTGTACTTTGAGACCATTTAAGTCAGAATGTTTTTGAATAGCTACTTCATTTGGAGACATATATAGATATTTTGGCAAATGAAAATGGAAGATCAAAAATGGTGGATCGAAAATAGAAGATCTGGTGGCCTTCAGATATGCTTTGTTTGAAAAAGTTGCCAACATTACATGAATATTGTATAAATGTGGATTTTACCCAACAACCTAAGTGTGTAGTTTCTGCTGAGAATTGGAAGCTTGGCCTGTGTGGGGTCTGTTGGCCCAGCAGGAGGCAGGTCTGTCCTTTACCTTCATCACTGTCAGGCCACTCACCCTTTGCATTCGGAGTCGTGACCCTGACTTTGAACTCATACCGATCAGCAGATTTTTCATCTGGAAGTAGGATTTCTTCCTTGAATTGAAACTTCATCTTTATATCTAAGCTACTTTATACATTTAGCTTGCAAATAGATCAATAAAAGGAGAAACTGATGTTTCTTTTGTGAATAGGCTCACATATCTAACAGATGGATTGGGTAATAGATTGTTTCAGTTGTTTGGATCATGTTTTAGTTGACTTATCCATAAGAAGTAATACAAGGTAAGGCTGTTTTCCTTTTTATCCTTTACCTTTATATAGATATGAGATTGTCTCCACTCATTTTTCACAGAAAAACGACCCTATAATTGTGAGATTTGTAATAAATCTTTCAAGAGGCTCGATCAAGTGGGTGCTCACAAAGTAATACACAGTGAAGATAAACCTTACAAATGCAAGCTTTGTGGAAAGGGATTTGCCCACAGAAATGTTTACAAGAATCACAAGAAGGTAAAAGCTTATTAATATTGTTATAAACATATGTATTTTTGCTGATTTCCTGATATAATTACCAATTGTTTACCTTCAAAGAAGTTTTTGGATATCCGAGTCATGCTGTACATATGAAATAATTGGAGAAGATCTTGCTTCTGTTTTCTAACCACTCACTCAGGCCGCAACCCCTGTGGCCTTGTTTCCTATCTGTATTCTCTACTGACACTGTTCTTCTCACAAGGAGTGTCATCCAGTGTTTTCCAGCGTTGCAGTAACTGCAAAGTCTTCTCTTCTTTCTTTCTATAAAGTTTGACACTCTTGCTCTTGTTACCTTTTGGAAATCCTCTTCATCTATGGCACCATTTTAGTGACTCTGCTAGGTCTTCTGCCAGTTTCTCTGAGTGCTTCTTTGTTCTCTGAACCCTCCCCCAGGGGGTTATCCTGGCTGCTTTGACTGTAGGCCTCTTCTATGTTCTTAATGTCAGCTATATCCATGAATTCTGGTACAAACTCTGTACTGATGATTTCCAAGTGATTTATTTTGTTAATCCCAGCTCTCAGACACACATTTGCCACTGCTCGTGTGATACATAACTGGGCACCTTTTGACCTAATGAATTTAGCACGCTCCAGATAACTTCACTTTTGGAAGTTTCTGTTAATTTCTGTTAAGGACAAAAGCATCTAATTATCCCTGTCTCTTTCTGTAATATTAGCCCCTTTTTAGAATTAGAAGCTAATCCTTAAAGATTGTACCCTCTACGTTGCCGTATCACCGTCACAATCATCCATTGCTTTACCATTTCCACATCCTGATCATGGCTCATCTTCATCACTTTAATTCCCATCTCATTCAGCTTCTTGTTACTTATCAGTTCCCACTTATTCAGCTGACTAGATAAATCATCCCAAAGCACAACTCTATCACTCTTGTACTCTAATATTATAAGTAGATTTCCAGCACCTATTAACATATGATGCTTTACCCTGTCACTCGGAGTTCTCTACACCATGACCTCAGCTTCCTTTTCCAGCTTTGTATCCTCCTATTTTCTGCATGAGACATATCAAAAACAACTCAGCATGACCTCTCTAACTTCTCCCGTCCCTCCTTCCTAGCAGGACTCTCTTCAAGTTACAATCTCTTAGTTTCGTCTATTGATTTTTGTTTGTATTTCCTACACTTTACTCAAGTTCTTGTATCAGAAAGTTAGTTTTGGGCTTCCCTGGTGGCGCAGTGGTTGGGAGTCCGCCTGCCGATGCAGGGGACACGGGTTCGTGCCCCGGTCCGGGAAGATCCCACATGCCGCAGAGCGGCTGGGCCCGTGAGCCATGGCCGCTGAGCCTGCGCGTCCGGAGCCTGTGCTCCACAACGGGAGAGGCCACAACAGTGAGAGGCCCGCATACCGCAAAAAAAAAAAAAAAGAAAGTTAGTTTTATCTAATCTACTTTGTGTAGGTAATAAATAATGTTTGAATTGAATTCAGAAAATGTGTGCAAAGATATTCATTGTCTTAGAAGTGTATGTTTAAATTTGTGATGTGATACATATTTGCTTATTGATTTTGGTATATGGCAGGATGCTGTTAAACAGCGTATAAATAATGCATTTTCAAATAACTTTGTTACCTTTTTATTTGCAATATTCCATTGGAATTATAATTATTTCAGTATTTATTGGGACTTTACAAACACATCATTTTATCTCTTTAAATCATTTAAGAAGTTACGATATCAGTTTCAGCTTCAGTCTAAAAAGAAAAGAAAAGGCAGATTTACGAAAGAGTAAACAGGATTGATTGATGGTGTACCAAATCACCTCTGCCTAATTTCTTGCTGACCGCCCTTATGTTTAACTCAGGCATTATATGTTCAGAGGCAGGACCACATTCATTACTGCTGCACTGGAATTACATGCCTATAAAAAATTATCTGGCTAGTTTCCTGCTAAGTCTCTGGAACCCTCTTGCTCCTTTCTTTGATGAAACTGATCTACCCACATTTACGAGTTTTTCACAGTTTGACTTATGTTATATGCCATATGGGAATTTGACACAGGATCTTTGCACCATCTCTCATACCTTTAATCATAAATCATATGAAAGTAATAATGATGCCTTGGGAAGGATAGAAACAACGATGCCTGTAATTTCCAAAGTGGAAAGCACATTCAATCCTTCTGCTCTGGACAGTTGTGTTTCTCACTGTGTTATGATCCTAGTGTGTATTTGGTATGATTACATGAAAATGTTTAAAGTATTTTCCAAGAGTTATGGTGAAAAAAGCAAATCAACTTTTTCTTCCTTCATTATTCATTAGTGGCTAGTTCCAAACCTAAAAAGTAAGGATATGCAAGGAAAGCAGAAAAAAAACCCCACTAAAAGTCAGACCCATCTTCATCATGTAGCATGACCAAAGGTTGTTATTTTAAATAAATTATTCTTTGGAGTTTTTGATTATGTAAACTTGTGTATTTCTATTATGCTTATCTGGTTTATTTTGGGGTCAGTTCTTTTAACATTTAAATTTGCTTGAAAAGGAAATATTTTCATTGTGATGGACAATAGGGTGTGAAATTTTGAAGGAGTGATTTCTGTTTCTTAAACTTAATTACTTGTTTTGTCATCTTGCCAGTTAAACAAGCTCAATAGGTCAAAATTAGTTTTTCTTTTCCCTAATCCTTTCTGACAGTCATTTAACCTGATTCATAGTTGTATGTTTAGGATCTAGTTAAATAAAGATTGTTCGTCTGGATCCACCTATATTCTGTGATCCTTTAAATCACAATTGGACAGACATTTCAGAACCACAGGAAACAGAAATTAGTTAATTAGTCTTCACCCTCCATTCTGTTCCCTGTCAGATTTAAAGCAAAGCCAAAGTGAGATGTGTATAGTGCTTTCCTACTCCTGTGATGGGTGTGGTATCTAGATGGACTGAGCCATCTTGGATCCTGGAGCTGGCACTACTTGCTGGGTGATGGGAATGAGAACAGAGAGGTTTTGTCCTGATTGAGTCATAAACAAGCTCCTGGGGGAAAGAGCTGTGTCTCTTCAAATGAGAGACCTGTTTTCCTGACCTTTATATGACCTTCAAGGGATGAACATCAGAAGCCGATGAGGAACTCTGGTCATAACCGCTCCTAAAATAATTCCATTGGGTGTCCTCTACTAACACCTCATCCAGTGATTTCCAAATTCTGGGCCGTGACCACTTTGTGGGTCTTGAAGTAATTAACTGGGTCATGAATAGAATAGAATAGAACAGAGCAGAATAGAATAGAATAGAATAGAATAGAATAAAAAATACAATAGAAAGTATGAGAGTAAGGGTCATTTAATGAAATAATACACGTGTGTGCATGTCTGTGTTAGATTTTGATATAAAAATTATCTTTTCAGTCATGATCAAACAGTTTGAAAGACACTGCAGGTCAGACTTTGTGCAGGTGAGATTTTATTAGACCTTAAAGAAAAGGACAGGTCTCTGTCTATAAAGAAATCAGGGATTAGGTTCTAAAACCATAATATATGGCATAAATTTTACATAATAAAAGAAATCTTTGGCAATCTCTAAGAAAGGTGCCAAGTTGTACATTGAAAGACAGTGGCTCAGTAATTCCGTCACAACCACTTTTTCCTTCAACTTTGCATCAGATTTCTCTTCTTCAGGCGGGTTGTAGGTGAAGTAGTGGGTGGTTCATTTAAGGTGTTATATGTCCAGAATTGCCTATTTTTGTGTTCTAGAAGCACATGCACAAGGCTGAGATGCTCACACTAAGGGGGGCATGCATGTAGGAATTGAACCTGACAGAGGAAAGGAACAGATACAGATGTTCCTCTGAAGCTCATGTAGTTAATGGCAAATCGCTTACCCTGTTTCAATTATTTTTCTTCGGTGGATGGTGGGATGGCATCCTACAGTTTCTAATGTAAGCACCTTATTTCTCGTACTAGACAGTAACCTTTGAAGATAGATGCTGTACTTTAATTCATGGCACCTGTTGACCACATTGTGCTTTGAATGAGGCAGACATTTTCCGAATGAATAAAAATTCATGAAAAAATTATCCCAAATAAATGATTTAATGTTCCTAGTTAAATGGTAGTTATGATACGAGGAGTGATTTCTCTAAATCTCTATTTGCAGTATGTATTGCAGCATTTTTCCCTTTCTGAGCACTCCCTTTCTTGACTTTATGAGCCTATCAGTGATCTAGTGATCCACTGAAAAATCATGGTTGTGTTCCTTCTGCACTGGGTTTATCAGCCCGAGATAGCTAAGAACTCTTTAAACCTTTCATTTGAAGACACTGCACAGTTCTAATTTTCTGAACCCTTTCCTGGCTCTGAGTTAGATATTTCACATGTAGCTCACTTACTCCCAAATCAGTGATGGCCCTTTGTCCCCTGAGAAACTTTAATAGAAGAACCTGCCTCCCAGCTTGCTTCTGCTTCCCCAGATTATGACTGAAGAGCCGTCAACTAAAGACTGTGCCTTGGTGTTTCCCTGAACCACAGCATTGCTGCTGCTCTTCAGAGGTTTCTTCACCCCGGTTCCTGTGGGCACAGGGCCTTGCCTTCCAGGTCTCTAGCCTCTGACTCTTGCCTTGCACTTAAAGGTTCAGACTGGCTCTTACCTCCAGAATACTGCCTTTGTTCTTTGCTCTTTACCAGCCCAGCCCAACCCAGAGGTTGAACTCACTTTACTTGACGCGCCTGATCAAGTGCACACCAGTAGCCATCTTAAAACCGCAAAGGGAAATGTTCTTTATTTTTTAATTAATTTTGTTTTCCTTTTTTTTCCTTTGTAGTAGACATCTTATGAAAACAAATCCCTAAAATCATACATGAATGCATGGGTAGTCAGTTATGCAGCTTAGGTTAGAATCCCCGGCACCAGCCACCCTCCCTTCTGCCTACCACGTTTCTAGGCCCCTTCCCAGTGAATAGCCTCTGGGCTTTCCCAAGTATTTTAACAACTGTACACGTTGTTGTACAAATTATTTGTTCATT